CGTCCATTATTTCGAATTTATTTCCAAATAACGGAATGGCTGTGTAGACGCTCGCCGTGTTATTTCGAAATAACGCTGGTTATCTTGAAATAAGGGTACAGTGTAGATGCACCCTTCATGTGGATGTGTTACCTTGAGTTAGAGCCCCGGGAAGCACTGGGGAGTAATTACTGTGAATTACTCTAGGGAGGAGTTATTTCGGAATAGCAGGACCGGAGTGTCCACACTTCTGCTATTTCAAAATAGCTATTTCGAAATCAGCGTTCTTCCCCGAGTTAAGCAGGAGCCCAGATTTTGAAATAACGGGCTTGGTCACGTGGATGCTCCCCTTATAAATTCGACCTAAGGGGGGTTATTTCAAAACAATGCCTTAGTGTCGACCAGGGCCTAGAGGCGGAAGGCTCCATAGCCATGCACCAGCCTCTCAGTTATCTGGTTTCCTTAGCTTGGGGAACCAGCCGGAGAGCGCTAGCCGGGTGCAGTTTAGACAGGGACTGCTGGTGGAACACTTGGGCCATGTCCAGACTCAGGGGTTTTTTCGGGAAAAGTAGCCTTTTCCCGAAAAAACTTCCCCTGCGTCCAGACTCAAGCCGCGTTCTTTCGAAATTATTTCGAAAGAACGCGGCTTTTCTTTCGATGGCGGTAAACCTCGTTTCACGAGAAAGAACGCCTTCTTTCGAAAGTTCCTCTTTCGAAAGAAGGCGTTCTACAATGTAAAGAGGCCGTCTTCGAAAGAGAGCATCCAGACTCGCTGGGTGCTCTCTTTCGAAAAAGCGGATTTCCTCTATCGAAAGATCCGCCTGCAGTCTAGACGCGATCTTTCGAAAGAAGCCTGCAGTCTAGACATAGCCTTGATTTCACTATCATCTATGCACACAGTCAGAACCCCCCTGTCCCGAGGTGCGTTTCTCTGGTGGATGATGAACGGGAAGAGGCTCATAACTGGGTGATCATCAGCCCAGTTTTCTCCTGAGATTGGAAGTGCCACGGGGAAGGTACATCTACACTGCATGCTTATTTTGAAATAACACGTCTACACTGCAGGGAAGCCTCAAAATGAGTCCAAGGCAGGCTCCCCTAATGTAGACGTGCTATTTCGATTTAGAGCCCCAGGAGGCACTGGGGAGGAGCTATTTCGAAATAGCAGCAGTGGAGCATTTACACCCGCCTGGCAATTCTCCATCCTTGCCAAACAACCTCCTCCTAGAGTTGGGGATGCTCCTGGTTCTCTTTTGCTTGACACGAGATCCAATAAGATCCGCATGGGAAAAGGCCCCTTTGTGTTTCTGGGGTGCGCCCAGGAGGCCGGGCAATGCCACCTCCAGCCTGGGAGCTGAGAGCGGAAGATGCTTTCACTTGCAAGGCCGGCCCTGTGAAGAAGACGTTCTCGTTCTCTCCCTATTTCCATGAAAATCATACAACCAGTGTCACCACTTGGAAGAGGGAAAAACAATGGTGGATGCATTATCTGGTGAGGTGGCAGCTCTATAGACGAAGCTAGAGAGATGGTGAAAAAAAAAACCTCAGAGCACTTCACTTTCTCACAAGCCTCTGGTTTATTCCCATCTCATCCTCCTCCCCTGTGATTTTCGTTGCTTAGCCTGTCACTCACTTTCCTGGGAGTCCGTCTCTAACCACACCATTTTTTATTCCATTTGGTTCACCCTAGATCATTTGCTCAGTGCCCTTAAATTAAACCTTAGTATCACTCACCAGGCCCGGCTCGGCCCGGATGCCCAGCTGGTATAGATCAGCATAGCTCTAGTCATTTCAACAGCTTTGACATCAGGTGAGGAGAAGGCCATGTGCCTCCAAAGCATTTCATCAGCTGAGCAGGTTTGCCTTGCCCCCATTTTACAGATCGGGAAACCAAAACACTGAGTGAGCAGCCAAGCAATTTTTCAAAGCCACATGGTGAATCAGTGGCAGAGTTTGGAGGCAAAGAATTCCAACCCATATTCTAGTCTCTCCCCTAGAACACATTGCTTCCCACAGCTCAGAGATGCTCCTTTTGAAATCTCTCCTACATACAAATGACTCCTTTGATGACACACTGCAAGAGCCCAGTAACAAACAGAAATGGTGTGTCCCTAGTGCTTTGAGTGTTCACAAAGGTTATTACTTCTCCAGATGACAGGAAACTGGTGACGTTCCCCAGATTTTGGATCCCCTTTCTCCTAGGGCTGGGATTGTGCTAGAAGGTGGGGAAAGTGCTTTTGGTTCCAACAAATTAACCAGTGTCTCTGAATAGGAAGAGTGGCACTGGCTATCGGCATGTGTGTTTGTTTACACAGTGTCTCCGGGGACATGGAGGATGGCACGGGAGGGGAAAACACCCACCAGATTTGGGCAGCAGGAACATCCCGGAAATAAGATGACATGACCTTGTGTTTCACCCCAGAGGATCCCAAAGTACCATATTACATTTCACCCACCCGTCGTGGTGGGCAGGGAAACGTCTGAGCCATCGTGCCCAGGCCCACGCCTCCTCTTATGACGACTGTCCCAGGAATGTTCATGTCACCCTGAACGACCGTCTGCCCCAGCGCAGAGGGCTCCGTGGCTCTCCCCACAAGAGTTGTGTCAGGCACCTGGGGCCACATGAGCCCCTTTGAGAGCCCTCGACTCTGGCACACGCCGTCTCACGAGACCTCTCCAGGCTTTGTGTGTCGGGCAAAGGGTGGCCAGAGGTGTCATACCCAGAAGCACAGTTAGAGGGAGTGGACCGCAGTCAGCCCGGCTCTGGGGCCTCTCCAATGGCTGGCTGCCTCAGTGAAGGTGGCTCACTAAGGACTAGAGCTGAAGAGAGACCGTGGGAGGGGAGTAACAGTGGTCCCCTGTAGGGATGTAAAATCCCATTTAATCGGTTAACCGGTGAAACATGGTGGTTAACCGATTAAAGAGGGGGTTGGAGTGGCCCCCTATCCCTCGCAGCCTGGCTGGAGCAGCCCCCCCCCCCCACAGGTAGAGGCTGCTCCAGCCCAGCTAGAGCAGCTCCTGCCTGAAATGCAACTGGGCCTGCTGTGGACAGGGGCTGTTCCAGGCAGTTGGGTGGGGAGCTGCTCCAGTCCCCACCGGTTAATGGGTGATGCTCATTGGTTAACTGGTTAACCTCTTACATTCCCAGTCCTCTGACAGAATATTGCCATGAAAGGAGAGGGTGGAAGGTCAGAGGAGTTAACCTCCCTCCCCGTTCTGTTCAAGGGCTAAACTCTTTCCTGAGGACAATGAAGGTATATGATGAACATAAGAATGGCCAAACTGGTCAGACAAAAGGTCCATCTAGCCTAGTCTTCTGACTTCTGACAGTGGCTAATGCCAGGTGCCCTGGGAATGAACAGAACAGGGAATCATCAAGTGATCCCTCCCCTGTCACCCAGTTCCAACTTCTGACAAACAGAGACTAGGGATACCATTCCTGGTCATCCTGACTAATTGCTGCTGAAAGACTTATCCTCCATGAATTTATTTAGCTCTTTTTTGAATCCTGTTATATTCTTGGAATTCATAACATCCTCTGGCAAGGAGTTCCACAGGTTGACTGTGCATCGTGAAGAAGGACTTCCTTTTGTTTGCTCTAAACCTGCTACCTGTTAAATTCATTTGGTGACCCCCTAGCTCTTGTATTATGGAAAGGAGTAAATAACTCTCTTTATTCACTTTCCACACCAAGTCAAGGTCATATTTCGTCATCTCTTCTCCAGCTGAAAAGTCCCAATCTTATTAATCTCTCCTCATAAGGCAGTTGTTCTAAACACCATAATTTTTTGTTGCCCTTCTCTGAATCTCCTCCAATGCCAAGATATCTTTTTTGAGATGAGGCAATCACATCTGAATGCAGAATTCAAGATGGGGACGTACCATGGAATTATAGAGAGACATTAAGATAGTCTGTCTTATTCTCTATCCCTTTCTTAATGATTCCCAACAATGCCCCTGAGAATATCTTGCAGCCAGAGTACAGCAGCAGCCTAAAGCAGTAAGGGAAGGACACCTTAAAACCAATACTAAGGCCAGTAGAGGGCTGCCTTGACGTGGCCTTTGGCTGGTATCAAATGCCACTCTTTGGATCCCGTGGGCAGAAAAGCATGACCCCATGCCAGCGTGTAACACGGAGTACAAGGGGATCAGACAGAAGTTTGGAGAAATCATTGAAAATGGTCCTACCACATATATCCACTCTAAAAATCTAGACATATCAATCTCTACGTCTAAGGAACCAACTTTTGGTAGCTACACAAAGGTTCTCTGTGCACTGGCTCTGCACAATTTAAGAAATATTATTTTCTTTAGCAGCGCATGGGAATGGGGGATGGGTAAATGAATCTCATCCTGACACAATTATAAATAGTAGATTCATTTGTCCAGTTATAATCTGACATCCCAAAAAGGCTACTTAAAAAACAAGTCTACCATATGTTCTTGATTTGTTAACAAATACACAACAGCTGCAAGCAACACTTTGACTGTGCCCCAGAAAACACCCTGATAACCCCCGGAAGCAGAAAAGCCACAAAGAATCCAAACCTACTCAAAGATTAAAACACACCTGCAGCAAAGTGACCCTGTCCTCCTCATTCCCTCCTTAGCAGAGACACTCCAGCAGCCAGAGGTAATTTGTTGGAAATCACAACAGTGCAAACAGCACACGCACACACACTGGCCTCTGGTGATAATGGAACAATAATGGCATGCGTGGAGGCAAAAGTTACTCACTTTTCATGGGCTGACACACACAAAAGAAAAAGGCTCAGAGCCAACTCTTGCTCTCCCAAATTCATTCTGATCATGCAGAAGGAAGGTTGCTGTGAATATCCCACAAGGCACATTGCGAATGAAAAATCAGAGAAGTCAGCGCCCCACCGCATGCTGTGTCCTGGATGCTCAGTGCGGCTGGAATTCCGCCTTCTGAGTTCCGTAAACCCGGCCTGGGCCTTTCCAACGAGGCCAGTGGGGAAGGGGAGGGGGGCAGGGAAAGAAACATCATGCGGGGGACTTACCTTCCACAGTTGCAGTGGCAAACTCGATCTTCTCCTCTTAAATGTGGTAGGATATAATTGTGAAACCGGTCCAGCAGCGCATTCATGTCCATCAAGCAAGCTATTGCCTGTAAGAGCCCACAACCAAGGCATCTGGTCAACTCTAGATGATGGAATAAAACATTGACTCGAGTTTGGTTGCTAAAGACTGGAACGGTCATAAAAAAAAATTAAAGGCTGGTTTTTAATTTTTTTTTAAATGGGACACACACACACACACACACACGCTAAAGCGATGGGAGGAAGGAAATCAAGGGACAAGCAAAATCTCTTACCATGACGAGAGAGGCACCCAGGATCATGAAAATCATGGTGTTTGCATTCATGGACAGCAACTGGAAATGGACAAATGTTTTGTCTATTCCCCCCCTCCCCCCCCAAAAAATAAATAGACCCAGGTACAAAAAAAAAAGCAGCTGCCGGGTTATTCCCAGAGGTCAGGCTTGGTCACAGACGCCCCCTTCTCTCCCCAAGCCGCAATCCTGGTGTGGGGGGCGGGCGGCTGCCC